GAACAAGCCAATGCCTCTTTTTGCTTAAGCATCAGCTACTGCAATTAAATAATGTGTCTATTTTAGTATTTCTCTAAAATGAGTTTAAGTTTACACTTATTTCTGCTCACCATCTACTTTCCCCACTGATTCAGATGACTGAACGGAGGAGCGGGGAAACGGCCCTGGCAAGCCAAGGAAACGTGGTGTGAGCTGAATTCTAAATGAGCCATGCACTGTGAGTTGGTGCCCCGCAGGCAGGCAGCTACAGAGGGAGGAGGGGGATCTACAGTGTGTTGTTAAGTAAACAGTGCACAGTGTCGGGCCTGAGCTCCACGCTGCTCCCTACATGAGGCCAGAACTCTGGAACACCCCTCAACATGCTGATGCTGCAGAGAAGTCAGACATATTAAACTATAATATAATATTTTTTGAAATATTATTATTATTTTTTTTGTGTATGGGTGGTCCCGGGGATCGAACCCACTACCTTGGCGTTACAAGCGCCGTGCTCTACCAGCTGAGCTACAGAGGACCACAATTATTCACTTTTTGATTTAGTTTTGTCTGTAGTAATAACATCAATTCAAATCAAAATCAAATTGTATTTGTCACATGCGCCGAATACAACAGGTGTAGGCCTTACCGTGAAATGCTTACTTACAAGCCCTTAAACAACAATGCAGTTCAAGAAATAGAGTTAAGAAAATATTTACTAAATAAAATAACAACTAAAATAAATAGTAACACAATAAATGAATGATCTTATGTGTCTAAAGACAGCTTATGGTTTACAGCTACAAGGGAGAGAGGGAGAGAGGGAGGAAGAGAGAGAGAGAGAGAGAGCGAAAGAAACAGAGAGAGAGATGTTTACTGTTAATATTTATTGTTTATTTCACTTTTGTTTACTATCTACTTCACTTGCTTTGGCAATGTTAACATACGTTTCCCATGCCAATAAAGCCCTTAAATTGAAATTGAATTGAGAGCGAGGGAGAGAGAGAGAGAGAGAGAATTCGAAAACAAACCCAATTTTGATAAACTCCCTTATCTACTGGGTGAAATACCACAGTGCGCCATCACAGCAGCAAGATTTGTGACCTGTTGCCACAAGAAAAGGGCAACCAGTGAAGAACAAACACCATTGTAAATACAACCCATATTTATGTTTATTTATTTTCCTATTTGTACTTTAACTATTTGCACATTGTTACAACACTGTATATCTACATAATATGACATTTGAAATGTCTTTATTCTTATGGAACTTCTGAGTGTAATGTTTACTGTTAATATTTATTGTATATTTAACTTTAGTTTACTATCTACTTCACTTGCTTTGGCAATGTTAACATACGTTTCCCATGCCAATAAAGCCCTTAAATGTAATTGAATTGAGAGAGAGACTAGAAGAGACAGACAAGAGGAAGGACAGAGAGGACAGAGAGAGGATAAGCCCTTAAATTGTTGAATTGAATTGAGAGAGAGGGGGGAGAGGGGGGAGAGAGAGGAAGAGGAGATATAAAGCCGTTTTAATATTGAATTGAATTGAATTGAGAGAGGGGGGGGGGGGTGGTGGTGGTGGAGAGAGGGGGAGAAAGCAATGACTTTTTAATTTGAAATTTTTAACCCAGAGAAATCCTCGCAATTACAGAGCTTGTCACTACGCTTTAATTATATTCATACACACCGAAAAAAATGCAGGTGTTTTATCAAATGCTGTGTTGTCTCTTCAGGTTGTGTTGTATACAACAGATGCCACTGAGACACCCATAGCAACCCCATCGCAACTCACCTCCATAAACTTTGGGTTGACAATAACAGATGTGGAACAAAGCAGCTTCTCAATCATTGAATCATTTTGACATTGTGTTGGTTACACTCTTCGGTTTTATCAAGATGACATTGTGTTGGTTAGAGTCTTAGTCTGTCTATCTGGAGATGGTTTATAACAGGGTTCCCCAACTGGTGGTGGTTTTATTTGGCACCTCAAATTTTCTGAGCACAAAAAATAAATAAAATAAATCCATGGTTGGACATAGAATACTGTAAAAACACCAGGAAATCAGATCCGAGTTGTTCCCAAGTATTCTCACACATAATAGAGAGACACGTGATCGTATTCAAATGTAAGCAAGGTTTGAAATGATTATGTTTTAGTCAAATATTATATCTGTTTGGGCTTCTTAGGTCAATTTGCAGTCTACAAATTATTTGTAATTATGTTCCGGCCCCCCAACCATCTGCTGAAGAAAAAAAAACGTCCCGCGGCTGAATCTAGTTGATGATCCCTGGGCTAGAAGGTTTTACCTGTTGATGGGGGTGCTGTGTTCTGTGAGGGCCACCAGCAGCTTGAGAGCGTAGACTGGAATTGGGTCTGGCTCCAACAGGAGAGATTCATACCTGTACAACACAGGAGAGACATCAGTCACACTTTATATGGATAGCTATTTGGATAGTCCCCTACAGAGGTTTAGGGTATAGTTAGTTCAACAGCTTGTTGATAGTTAGTAGAACATATTTACAGCCATCTAGAAATCCTCTGCAGAGAATTGGCCAACACATATGGGGGCTGGCTTAAATATTGAATTCAATAAATCTAAATTACTAATGAAAAAAACGTTTCAATACATCTAAAACGTTTATTTCTCCACTAGGGAACTGGCCAAATAAAGTTCCCAAAACAAGAAGGTTCACTACTTTGACTGCAGTCCACACGCCCAGGCCCAGATTAACAGTGGAGCTGGGCTGGCTATCAGTTTCTGTTCATTAATGAATCCATGTCATCAGACCTTTTAAATGAGCTAAAGTTGAGAAGTCTGAATAAGCAATTGAAGACAGGGAGGCGCAGAGGGAGAGGGGAGAGGAGAGCAAAGAGAGAGAGAGAGAGAGAGGGTAAAGGAGAGCAGAGAGAGAGAGAGCGGAGAGAGAGGGTAGGGGAGATAAGAGGGGGGAGGAGAGAGAGGGAAAATGTAGAGAAGAGCAGAGGGATAGAGAGAGGATAGAGAGAGAGAGAGATGCAGGAGAGAGCACACTCACTGTGGAAGAAGGGCTTCTGTAATGAGAGTCAGTAGTCTGCCAGTTGAAGAGTTGCACTCTCTCGCTCTCCCCCTCCCTCCCTCTCTCCTCTCCTCCTCCTTCCTCTCTCCCTCCTCCACAGCCTCTTGGCTCAGAAGCAGCAGTGTGATCTCTGACAGAACCCGCAAGCTGACGATACGCCACTCCACTACAACACAAAACAGAGCACAGAGTTGAGCATGTAACACACACACACACAGCATTAGTGATCCATGGAGACCCTCTGCAGTGAGACAGCTGACAGTTGCCTTTTATACAAATCAAAACATTTGCTACAATACCAAGTACATCTAGTTGAGTTAAAGACATGGTTCCTTGTGTTAAACTTTAGACCAAGGGCCTCGCTGTGTGCCATGCTAGATATGGAACATTGCAGAATGGGCACATTGCCAGAATGTCCATCTACAGTGCATTCGGAAAGTATTCAGACCCCTCCACATTTTGTTACGTTACAGCCTTATTCTAAAATGTATATACAAAAAAAAATAATCTCATCAATCTACACATAATACCCCATAATGACAAAGTGAAAACAGGTTTTTAGAAATGTTTGATAATGTATAAAAAAATTAAAAAAAAAATACCTTATTTACATAAGTATTCAGACCCTTTGCTATGAGACTCAAAATTGAGCTCAGGTGCATCCTGTTTCCATTGATCATCCTTGAGATGTTTCTACAACTTGATTGGAGTCCACCTGTGGTAAATGAAATTGATTGGACATGATTTGGAAAGGCACACACCTGTCTATATAAGGTCCCACAGTTGACAGTGCATGTCAGAGCAAAAACCAAGCCATGAGGTCAAAGGAATTGTCCGTATAGCTCCGAGACAGGATTGGGTCGAGGCATAGATCTGGGGAATGGTACCAAAAAATCTCTGCAGCATTGAAGGTCCCCAAGAACACAGTGGCCTCCATCAGGTGGCCACTGAGGTGACCAAGAACCCAATAGTCACTCTGACAGAGCTCCTGAGTTCCTCTGGGGAGATGGGAGAACCTTCCAGAAGGACAACCATCTCTGCAGCACTCCACCAATCAGGCCAGACAGAAGCCACTCCTCAGTAAAAGGCACATGACAGCCCGCTTGGAGTTTGCCAAAAGGCACCTAAAGGACTCTCAGACCATGAGAAACAAGATTCTCTGGTCTGATGAAACCAAGATTGAACTCTTTGGCCTGAATGCCAAGCGTCACATCTGGAGGAAACCTGGCACCATTCCTACGGTGAAGCATGGTGGTGGCAGCATCATGCTGTGGGGATGTTTTTCAGCGGCAGGGACTGGGAGACTAGTCAGGATCGAGGGAAAGATGAACGGAGCAAAGTATAGAGAGATCCTTGATGAAAACCTGCTCCAGAGCGCTCAGGACCTCAGACTGGTGCGAAGGTTCACCTTCCAACAGGACAACGACCCTAAGCACACATCCAAGACAACGCAGGAGAGGCTTCGGGACAAGTCTCTGAATGTCCTTGAGTGGCCCAGCCAGAGCCCGGACCTGAACCCGATCGAACATCTCTGGAGAGAAAATAGCTGTGCAGCGACGCTCCCCATCCAACCTGACAGAGCTTGAGAGGATCTGCAGAGAAGAATGGGAGAAACTCCCCAAATACAGATGTGCCAAGCTTGTAGCGTCATACCCAAGAAGACACAAGGCTGTAATCGCTGCCAAAGGTGCTTCAACAAAGTACTGAGTAAAGGGTCTGAATACTTATGTAAATGTAACATTTCATTTATTTTATTTTATTTTTGAAAAGAAAATGTAAAGCCTGTTTTTGCTTTGTCATTATGGGTATTGTGTGTAGATTGATGAGAAAAAAACACGATTTCATTCATTTTAGAATAAGGCTGTAACGTAACAAAATGTGGAAAAAGTCAAGGGGTCTGAATACTTTCTGAATGCACTGTATGTCCTATGGAGATCACATGACCCAGCCGTTTCCTTACCATTTTTACTGAAGGCAAGAGAAGTCAGTGGAGGAAGAATGCAATCAACAACCTTGAAGAGATAAAAACAACAACAACACATAAACAACAAATAAACAAATAAACAATAAATAAACATTAAAAAAACAAATAAACAACACAAACAACAAATAAACATAAAAAACAAATAAACATAAAATAAACAAATAACATAAAATAAACAACACATAAACATAAAATAAGACTATTTACATTTGACTCCTATTATTCATCGCCTACAAGTCATTTATTCATCACATGCAAATGTATAATCATGTATTTTCTTTACAACATGTCGTCTATAAAAGCTAGGAGCAATGAAACCAAGCACTTGTGTGAGCACTCCCAATTTCTATGTAAATATGATGTTGCCCCTGTCCTTTGATCATATACACCATTAGAAGATAACACCTGATGTGAGCGCTTTTTATAATAACAATTGGATCCATCCCTATTATGATGAGGACTATTTCCATAGAAACAACAGTAAACGCTCTGTTCTGTTCTGTTCTAGTCTCAACCAGGACGTCATCTAAACGGGAGACATCATTAGAATATGAAGCCTGAGGTGGGTACAAAGGATGTACTGTGTCTCGATGGATGCGTCCCAAATGGCACCCTATTCCCTATTTAGTGCACTACCCTGGACCAGAGCCCTATGCGCCCTGGACAAAAGCAGTGCACTACTCTGTAAGGGGATTAGGGTGCCATTTGAGACGGATCCATTGAGCACCTTTGTTTTTTATTAGAATATATCCATCAAAAGAGACTGTTGTGCTTTGCGGAGCATTTTGTGTCGCTGTCGCCTATTTCCCATTATATTTAGTTGAGCACATATTCTCCCTCCATCATGCAAACTGCTTTTAATGTGTCTGTCTGACTTCAGAAGAAGCATTTCTATAAAGCAACAGCCAGTCAAGAGTATAAATAGATAGAACTAAAAACAGATGACTAGATCTGATATTGCTGTGGTTCACCTCTGCAGAGAGCTTGTTCCAACAAAAGGAAACAATCAAACTGTGTGTGTGTGTGTGTGTGTGTGTACTCATGCATGTGTTTGTGCTGCTCCCTTCTCAAAACTCCACCGCTGACAGACAACGCTCAGTGGATGTCTAATGACTAGTGTCAGACATGTAATTAAAGTGCCTTCTCATATTACTCAGTAGCTGTGCTTCTTCTTCTTCTCCTTCTTCTTCTCCTTCTTCTCAGAGGAGCTGTGCTCTTCTTCTTCTTCTTCTTCTTCTTCTCTTCTTCTTCTTCTTCTCAGAGGAGCTGTGCTTCTTCTTCTTCTTCTTCTCTTCTTCTTCAGAGGAGCTGTTCTTCTTCTTCTTCTTCTTCTTCTTCTTCTTCTTTCTTCTTCTTCTTCTTCTTCTTCTTCTTCTTCTTGCACCCTATTCCCTTTATAGTGTACTACTTTTGACCGTGGCCCATAGTATATAGAGAATAGCGCTCCATTTAGGACTCAGCCCGTGCCTGGCCCAGCTCCTTCCTGTAGGTCAATATTCATTACACAGCCTCCTCAGACCAGACCAAGGCCCAGCTGAGGCAGCACAACTGATAGTCTGATGGTCTGATGGTCTCACTCCAACACCATACATTATTACTCCAAGTCAACCCCAAATGCCAGGGCCCTGTGTTGGGAAGGAAGTACTGGGCTGGTAGACAATCCCTAACCTCTAGTCCTTAGCCCCTCCGCACTTATGAGTGGACATCTGAGTGGACCAGTGCCTATGGGTTAGGGGTCAAGGGTTGTTTCTGGACGGGGCCAGTGTTGCTGCAGGCTCCTTGCAGACCACAGGGCCAGACTCACAGTACAGTGATGGGGCGTCAATAGAGCCTAGAGGCATAGGGGCTAAAAGGCTAGGGGCTAGGGGGTTAGGGGCTAAGAGGTTAGGGACTAGGGGGTTAGGGACTAGGGGCTAAAAGGCTAGGGGCTAAGAGGTTAGGGGCTAGGGGGTTAGGGACTAGGGGGTTAGGGACTAGGGGCTAAAAGGCTAGGGGCTAGGGGGTTAGGGACTAGGGGGTTAGGGGATACGGGGCTAAAAGGCTAGGGGCTAGGGGGTTAGGGCTAGGGAGGGTTAGGGACTAGGGGTAAAGGCTAGGGGCTAGGGGGTTAGGGACTAGGGGGTTAGGGGATAGGGGCTAAAAGGCTAGGGGCTAGGGGGTTAGGGACTAGGGGCTAAAGGCTAGGGGCTAGGGGGTTAGGGACTAGGGGGTTAGGGATAGGGGCTAAAAGGCTAGGGGCTAGGGGGTTAGGGACTAGGGGGTTAGGGGACTAGGGGCTAAAAGGCTAGGGGCTAGGGGGTTAGGGACTAGGGGTTAGGGACTAGGGGCTAAAGGCTAGGGCTAGGGGTTAGGGACTAGGGGGTATAGTGGGATAGGGGCTAAAAGGCTAGGGGCTAGGGGTAGGGACTAGGGGTTAGGGACTAGGGGCTTAAAAGGCTAGGGGCTAGGGGGTTAGGGACTAGGGGCTTAAGGGCTAGGGCTAAAGTGGTAGGGGGGCAGGGGTTAGGGACTAGGGGCTAAAAGGCTAGGGGCTAGGGGGTTAGGGACTAGGGGCTAAAAGGCTAGGGGCTAGGGGGGGTTAGGGGCTAGGGGTTAGGGACTAGGGGGTTAGGGACTAGGGGCTAAAAGGCTAGGGCTAGGACGGGGCTAGGGGCTAGGGGTTAGGCTAGGGGTTAGGGATAGGGGCTAAAAGGCTTAGGGGACTAGGGGGTTAGGGACTAGGGGCTAAAAGGCTAGGGGCTAGGGGTTAGGGCTAGGGGTTAGGGACTAGGGGGTTAGGGCTAGGGGGTTAGGGACTAGGGGGCTAGGGACTAGGGGCTAAAGCTGGGCTAGGGGGCTAGGGCTAGGGGGTTAGGGGCTAAGGGGGTTAGGGGACTAGGGGGGTTAGGGACTAGGGGCTAAAAGGCTAGGGGCTAGGGGGTTAGGGACTAGGGGGTTAGGGGATAGGGGCTAAAAGGCTAGGGGCTAGGGGGTTAGGGACTAGGGGGTTAGGGACTAGGGGCTAAAAGGCTAGGGGCTAGGGGGTTAGGGCTAGGGGTTAGGGCTAGGGGGTTAGGGACTAGGGGCTAAAAGGCTAGGGGCTAGGGGGTTAGGGGACTAGGGGTTAGGGGCTAGGGGGTAGGGGCTAGGGGGTTAGGGACTAGGGGGTTAGGGACTAGGGCTAAAAGGCTAGGGGCTAGGGGGTTAGGGCTAGGGGTTAGGGACTAGGGGGTTAGGGACTAGGGGCTAAAAGGCTAGGGGCTAGGGGGTTAGGGGCTAGGGGTTAGGGGCTAGGGGGTTAGGGGCTAGGGGGTTAGGGGCTAGGGGGTTAGGGACTAGGGGTAGGTAGGGACTAGGGGCTAGGGGTTAGGGGCTAGGGGGTTAGGGCTAGGGGGTTAGGGACTAGGGGGTTAGGGACTAGGGGCTAGAGGGTTAGGGACTAGGGGGTTAGGGGCTAGGGGGTTAGGGACTAGGGGGTTAGGGACTAGGGGCTAGGATGGGGTTAGGGGCTAGGGGGTTAGGGGCTAGGGGGTTAGGGACTAGGGGGTTAGGATAGGGGCTAGAGGGTTAGGGACTAGAGGGTTAGGGACTAGGGGGTTAGGGACTAGGGGCTAGAGGGTTAGGGACTAGAGGGTTAGGGACTAGAGGGTTAGGGACTAGAGGGTTAGGGACTAGGGGCTAAGAGGTTAGGGGCTAGGGGGTTAGGGGCTAGGGGGTTAGGGACTAGGGGGTTAGGGACTAGGGGCTAGAGGGTTAGGGGCTAGGACCCTACTCACAGTACAGTGATGGGGCGTCAGCAGGGCTGGGTGCTGGGAGATGGCCTCCACAGCTGACAGAGTGTTCCTGATCAGCTCCTCTGAACCTGCTTGTCCTGGGAATCAAACAGCACAAGGTTATACCTACAGTATTGACTCTATGCGCCAGTTGTTCAGATGCAGATGAAGCCTACAGTACTAAAAACCAGTGATAAAGCAAGCTGATATTCACTCACCTATTGCACTGCCCAAACTGGTCTCACTGGCATCAATAGATGTTATGTGATTCTGGAAGACACAACATCAGGAATGAGGGGTGCAGAAGGCCATGGGACTATACCACTATACACCACTGTCTCAATTACTTACCAGCAGTGCTCCAAATTTGAAGATAAACTCCTCAGTCACTACCTGTGGCCTGAATATCTAAAAAACTGATTGAGAGAGAGAGAGACATATACACAGAGAGAGACAGAGAAAGGGAGAAAGGGAGAGAGAGACAGAGAAAGGGAGAGAGAGAGCGAGAGAGAGCGAGACAGAGAAAGGGAGAGAGAGAGAGAGAGAGAGCGAGAGAGCAAGCGAGACAGAGAAAGGGAGAGGAGAGCGAGAGAGAGAGCGAGCGAGACAGAGAAAGGGAGAGAGAGCGAGAGAGAGAGAGAGAGAGAGGGAAAGGGAGATATATATATTACACTGTGTCCCAGTTACAGTAAGTTCTGTCTCTCTCTCTCTGACCTTAGCCAACCTGTCCTCCTCTCTAACTCTCAATTCCTTGCCAACCTTCTCTGCTCCTGTAAGCAGAGGCTTCATAAAGCCCCACTGAGCTGTCAGCCCACAGTAGAGCATTGTTTTCCCTTTCTCACCAGGTCCAGCGGTGGAAACACACACACACGACACACAGGCGAGAGAGTCCATCCACTAAAACAACCACTCCAAACAACATTAATGTGCTGTGCTCCATCAAGTCTATTCCCCGCCTACCTACCCCCCCCCCCCCCACCACCCCCACCCTCCACCACACACACATCTTGAAAGGACTGCTCCATTCACTGATTGATTAAGAGCTCCAGGGCAGACGTGGCCTGTAGTAAAGTGATAGACACATAGATGTAAACTAGAGCATCAGTCCAGGCTCACATCAGAACCCCAGCTACAGCTATCTTTAATATCATCATGTCATTACCCACGCATGGCAAGGACCACCGCTATTAGGGACAGACATCTGTCACAACACAGCTAAATAACACAGTAATCCCATTTAACAGACTATTAAATGCGTTACCTTATAAAATGAGGTAATGGCAGTGGGGGGATCTATCAGAGTGACAAGTTATTACTTTTTCAAATGAGATGGCTCAACCACTGTGGTGATGCTGTCTAGTCTCCATGAAGAATGGCAGGGGAAATGGAAATGCTATATTTAATCAGTGCATGGTTTCATCGACCAGGCTGCTTGTTGACAAGCATCTCTCTCGCTAGGATTTAGTCATATTATTAATAATCTCTGCACAATTGAGACTGTCACCACAAAATCCAATTTCCCCACCATTTATTTTGGCAACTGGCAATAATCTAACTGTGAGGCAGAGTGGGATGAAAATAACAACCTTTCATGCAATTTTCAAGACGTTTAATATGACAACTCTGGGTATATTATGTATTTGTAATTATGGTTTTGGAAAAGAGGAATCAAAGTTTAGCCTAAATGTAAACTTAAATAGTGCATCAGCTATGACTTTGATATCTAAATCTGTTTTGCCACAGTGACATAGCAAACACACTTTGACATCAGATATACAGTGGGGTGTGAATATTTCAACTTCTCCTTTTATTTGACACCCTCTCAGTGTTGGCCAGTCTACAGTTATCCAAGTGAACCATAACCATATTGGGTAAACAACCACATTAGTTTTACCACTCCTAAGAGCTCAGATACTGTATGTCAGCATAAGACGAAGCAACCTCAATTACGTATCAAGGTTATTAACACTCACTGCACACAGTACTTGACGCGTGTGTGTGTGGGCGTGTGTGTTACTGTTCGACTGCAGCATTCTAATACAATTAGTTGTGGCAGTGCTCAGATGAGCCGTGGTCTCTGGCACTGTTCTCTGCTCTATTCTGCCTCTGATAAAGCTGATTAAGATCTATGTTGGTTTGGATGAGGAGAGAGAGACTCACAGCTCTTAAAGCTAACCCCCTGATTCATTGGCTCTAGGTGGTAGGAGTGGACATACATTTCTGAAACCCTTCTGCTAAGTTATCAATAAGCATCAGTTGAAGCCTCTAGGCAGTGTGCTGTATGTTTTACGATGGAGAGATGCTATAAGACTCCTATAATATGTTCAAACAGCCAATTGGGAGTTATTCCAATAGTGTCAGAGATCCAGACCAATCCTGACCCATTAGCTTGTGAATCAATTATAACTGACTGAGGTCCCATCTTATTAAACAAGTAATCTCATTTTGCAATCACGCACATGCACGCACATACACACACTGTACACTTGATCTGCATGCACATACGCACGCACGCTCACACACACAAACAGTATGGCTGGGCGATATGTGCAAAATATCATATCACGGTCATTTTAAAAAATTGGATGGAAAGACGGTATTTTATGTTTTCTTGAATAATAAAATAAAAGTTCTCATTTGCTTTATTTTAATATTTTAGTCATTTAGCAGACGCTCTTATCCAGAGCGACTTACAGTTAGTGCATGTATCTTAAGATAGCTAGGTGGGACAACCACATATCACAGGCATAGAAAGTACATTTTTCCATAGCCTGAAGGTAGAGCGGGGCAGTTCCTCTTGCTGTTCCGTAGGTAACCACCATGGTCTTGTAGTGGAAGAGAGCTTCAACTGGAAGCCAGTGGAGTGTGCGGAGGAGCGGGGTGACATGAGAGAACTTGGGAAGGTTGAAAACCAGGCGGGCTGCAGCGTTCTGGATAAGTTGCAGGGGTTTGATGGCACAAGCGGGGAGCCCAGCTAACAGCGAGTTGCAGTAGTAAAGACGGAAGAGGACAAGTGCCTGGATTAGGACCTGCGCTGCTTCTTGTGTGAGGTAGGGTCGTACTCTACAGGTGGTGTAGAGCATGAACCTGCAGGAGCAAGTCACTGCTTTGATGTTTGCAGAGAATGACAGGGTGTTGTCCAGGGTCACGCCAAGATTCTTTGCACTCTGGAAGGGCGACACTGTGGAGTTGTCAACCGGAATGGAGAGGATTTTGAGCGGGCAGGCCTTCCCCAGGAGAAAAAGCAGCTCCGTCTTGTCGAGGTTGAGCTTGAGGTGGTGGGCTGAAATCCAAGTTGAGATATCTGCCAGGCAAGCAGAGATGCGTGTCGCTACCTGGGTGTCAGAAGGGGGGAAGCAGAAAAGTAGTTGAGTGTCATCCGCATAGCAATGATAGGAGAGACCATGTGAGGATATGACGGAGCCGAGTGACTTGGTGTATAGAAGAGGAGAGGGCCTAGAACCGAACCCTGGGGGACACCAGAACTGAGAGTACGTGGTGCAGACACAGATCCTCTCCACGTCACCTGGCAGGAGCGGCCTGCCAGGTAGGATGCAATCCAAGAGTGTGCAGAGCCTGAGACGCCTAGCCCTGAGAGGGTGGAGAGGAGGATCTGATGGTTCACGGTGATCTAGGAGGAGGAGAACAAAGGAAAGAGAGTCAGCTTTTGCAGAGAGGAGAGCCTCAGTGGCACAGAGGGAGCAGTCTCGTTTGAGTGACCCGTCTTGAAGCCTGACTGGTTAGGGTCAAGAAGATTGTTCTGAGAGGGATAACGAGAGAGTTGGTCAGAGACGGCACGCTCAAGTGTTTTGGAAAGAAAAGAAAGAAGGGATACAGGACTATAGTTTTTGACGTCAGATGAGTCAAGTGTTGATTTCTTGAGGAGGGGAGCGACTCGGGCCATTTGGAAGTCAGAGGGGACGCAGCCAGTGGTCAGGGATGAGTTGATGAGGGAATTGAGGAATGGGAGAAGGTCTCCAGAGATTGTCTGGAGAAAGGAGGAGGAGATGGGGTCAAGCGGGCAGGATATTAGGCAACCAGACCTCACTAGTCGCAGGATGTCATCTGGAGAGAGAGGGGAGAAAGAGGTCACAGCGTAGGGTAGTTCTGTGTGAGTGAGACCAGTGGACTCAATAGGCTGAGTGAATGAGTAGCGGATGTCGTCAACCTTCTTTTCAAAGTGGTTGACAAAGTCGCCCACAGAGAGGGAGGAGGGAGTGGGAAGGGGTGGAGGATTAAGGAGGGAGGAGAAGGTGGAAAATAGTTCCTAGGGTTAGAGGCAGAAGCTTGAAATTTAGAGTGGTAGAAAGTGGCTTTAGCAGCGGATACAGAGGAAGAGAAGGTAGAGAGCAGGCAGTGAAAGAATGATAGGTCCTCTGGAAGTTTAGTTTTCCTCCATTTTCGATCAGCTGCCCGCATTCCTGTTCTGTAAGCTCGCAATGAGTCACTCAGCCATGCAGCAGGAGGGGAGGGCTGAGCCGGCCCGGGAGGAAAGAGGACAGTGCGAGTCATAGGATGCGGAAAGGGAGGAGAGTAGGGTCGAAGAGGCAGAATCAGGAGACAGGAGGGAGAAGGATTTAGCAGAAGGGAGAGATGATAGGATAGAAGAGGAGAGAGTAGTGGGAGATAGAGAGAGTGAAGATTGCGACAGCGTATGACCATCTGGGTAGGGCTGAGTGGTTAGGTTTGGACGAAAGGGAGACAGAAAAGGAAACAAAGTAGTGATCAGAGACCTGGAGGGGGGGTTTTAGTGAGATTAGTAGGCGAGCAGCCTCTAGTAAAGATGAGGTCAAGCGTATTGCCTGCCTTGTGAGTTGGAAGGGATTGGGAAAATGTGATGTCAAAAGAGGCAAGGAGGGGAAAGAGAGAGTTGGAAAGAAATGAATCAAAGGCAGACGTTGGGAGGTTGAAGTCGCCAAGTACGAAGAGCGGTGAGTAGTGCGTGACTCTAGGGTTGCAACACCTACATTCTAAGTGATTTCAAATGGGTCTTTCTCCATTCTGATTGTTTTATACTGTTCAATTCAACCAAAAATAATTTTCAGCATGTTCATCCATTTCTGCATTTCCTGCACTCCTTTGAGATCATTTCCACACGTAGGGCTGCACGATATGGGCAAACAATCACTTATTTTTAACCAAATTTGCGATTTGGCTTGCAATTTAGAGCAAAACACTTCGGTGAACTTTTGGAATCATGGAAATAGAATGATTATTCTAATTATATAGTTAAAATATAATAGTTGGCACTTTGAATACAGTGTTGTTTGACATGACAACGAATGAAAATGCCAGGGAGGCGTTATTGTGACATGGTAGGAACCAAAGTATTGATAAGTGTTTCCTAAGGGACCCTATAATCTTTGGCTACATTGAATGTTTTCTCTCAGCTACTTCATGTAGCTAACATATTCATGCTTTGCGTAATCCTCTTTGATTTAGAAGATTATGTTGCACAAACAACATGCTAATTTAGGTCTACACCCTCACTGGTATTATCAGGCAGTATAGCTAATTACGTTTGCTCTGACTCAGTACATTTGTTACTAATTAGCGATTAGCATTAGCGGCTAACACGATTTAGGCCCAACTTGCTAAGAAAAGACAAACTAGCTGTTTGCAGATGTAAGAAACACAAACTAATAGTGAAATTATAGAACGCTAGTGGATTTATATTATGAAGCAAGTGTCTCCTGGTCGAGGAACAACAAATGCACTCCTTGAGTGACAGGGGGCGGGGCTAGGTCTGTGTGGAAAGCAGCATGGAGATACCGCTCAAATACCGTTATAGAAGGTAAAGTAAAAACCCAAACCGGTCCGTGCATCAATACCGGTATATGGTAAAACACGGTATAGCGCCCAGCCCTAACAGACAGTGTTTGTGACATACAGTAGTACAGTATGCGGGGTCACCTGAGAGGTGAGGAGGTGGAGCACCACGGTCATCATGGGTACACTCTGCTTCAGCTGCTTGGCCTGAACAGTGGAGGGATGCTTCCTGCCCACTATACTGCCCAGCACGGACAGCATGTCATCTATAGAGGAGAGAGGACAGAGGAGAGAGGGGTGAGAGACAGACAGACAGCATGTCATCTACAGAGGAGAGAGGACAGAGGAGAGAGGGGTGAGAGACAGACAGACAGCATGTCATCTACAGAGGAGAGAGGACAGAGGAGAGAGGGGTGAGAGACAGACAGACAGACAGCATGTCATCTACAGAGGAGAGAGGGGTGAGAGACAGACAGACAGACAGCATGTCATCTACAGAGGACAGAAGCGAGAGGGGTGAGAGACAGACAGACAGACAGCAGGTCATCTACAGAGGACAGAGGGGTGAGAGACAGACAGACAGACAGACAGACAGACAGACAGACAGACAGACATACAGCATGTCATCTACAGAGGACAGAGACAGACAGACAGCATGTCATCTAAAGAGGACAGAGGGGTTTCTCTCTCTCCGTTGCCCTCTCCTCCCATCCCCTCCCCTCCCCTCTCCTCCTCTCTCCTCCCATCTCCTCTCCCCACCCGTCCCCCTCCCATCCCATCCCCTCTCCTCTCCTCCCCGTGATGTTAGAGGAGAATGAGCCCGGACCGGTTTGAACCGGTTGGGTCTGGCTTCCGGCCCTGATGGGAGACGTGCCATGTTAGCAGCACTGATTTACAAATGAAACAGCAGGAAAAGGTCAATACCTGGCTGGGTGATTTAAAATTCAATCAGAAAGGTAATTAAAAAGAGGGGGAATCAAATTGGCTTGCTCCATCCAGCCATTGATGCAAGTTCCTCTCTACCCCACTTCACTTCACTTCACCTCCTCCTCTCCCCTCCTTCTCCTCTCCTCTCCCCTACCTCTCCTCTCCTCTCCTCTCCTCTCCTCTCCCCTACCTCTCCTCTCCCCTACCTCTCCTCTCCTCTCCCCTACCTCTCCTCTCCCTACCTCTCCTCTTCCTCTCCTCTCCTCCTCCCTCTCCTCTCCCTCCTCTCCTCTCCTCTCCTCTCCTCTCCTCTCCTCTCCTCTCCTCTCCTCTCCTCTCCTCTCCTCTCCTCTCCTCTCCCCTACCTCTCCTCACTCCCCTTAGTTCTGTGGTTTTGTGTTATTGTGATTGATTTACCCAGAATGGCTGGCAGCTCCAGCACGACGTGACGGATGAGCAGATCGAGGCATTTTGACAGGTATTCATTGCTGCTTTGTAGCTCCTTCCCTGGCGTGGCCTTTCTGATGTCTCTTTCAATGTACATCACCATTCTGCAAAACGAGCCAAGAAAACATTATTATTCACCTACAGCCTCCAATCTACCCTGGAAGCCGGACGGAGCCGGGATCAATACAAGGCAAGCCATTGAAAACAGAATTAGTAAGACGTATTATAGCAAATAAATGATATTCATGACAACAATTAGGGTTAAAATAAAGGGTCATAGATTGAGAGATCAATGAGGAGCATCAAAACAGCCCTCAAGCTGCAACAAGACTCTTTAACTCAAACACACAGCCTACAAGCTGCAACAAGACTCCTGAACTCAAACACACAGCCTACAAGTTGAAACAAGACTCCTGAACTCAAACACACAGCCTACAAGTTGAAACAAGACTCCTGAACTCAAACACACAGCCTACAAGCTGCAAACAAGACTCCTGAACTCAAACACACAGCCTACAAGCTGAAACAAGACTCCTGAACTCAAACACACAGCCTACAAGCTGCAACAAGACTCCTGAACTCAAACACACAGCCTACAAGCTGCAACAAGACTCTTGAACTCAAACACACAGCCTACAAGCTGCAACAAGACTATTGAACTCAAACACACAGCCTACAAGCTGCAACAAGACTCTTGAACTCAAACACACAGCCTACAAGCTGCAACAAGACTCCTGAACTCAAACATACAGCCTACAAGATGCAACAAGACTCCTGAACTCAAACACACAGCCTACAAGCTGAAACAAGACTCCTGAACTCAAACACACAGCCTACAAGCTGCAACAAGACTCCTGAACTCAAACACACAGCCTACAAGCTGCAACAAGACTCCTGAACTCAAACACACAGCCTACAAGCTGCAACAAGACTCTCCTGGCCAGTACACCACTGGACAGAGAGAGAGATGTGATGTCTCCTGGTCAGTACAGCACTGGACAGAGATGGTATGCATGTCAGTTAGCAGACACAGATGCAAAACAAACACACAGAGACAGACACACACCACACAGACAGACATACACACACACACAGAGAGACACACACACACACAGAGACAGACACACACACAGAGACAGACAGACACACACAGAGACAGAGACACACACACATGCACGTACAGCCCCTGGGTGCTTGCTTATTAACATGCTTGTCACCAACAGAACACACGTCTGCATGACATACTCCATCCACAGACGTTTACCCAGCAGCCATCTACTCCCCTCCCCAAAAACACCTGGCTTCCAAATTAGACAGTGATGAAAAACACTGAGAAAATTGAGAGAAACACTTGAGTGAGAAAGAAGCCTAAGCAAGTAACTGGCACTGGCATGATATGACTGTCATAAAGCTGTTTTAAAAGCAAAAGGAAACATGCCGTCTTCACACTTCAAACACCAGACAATATGATATTAAATCACAACCAAATGAATAGATGAGAAAAACATATTTCAGTATAGCAAAGCAACTTGGGGCAGCAACAGGCCTCTATTTAGTTGTGATACAGTATATTCTTGGTCCTTGGAAAGAAAATACCTTCCCCAGTGTGACAGGAAGACAGCTGTGATATTAACCCATACACTTCTGACCTATAAAGACCTTCCACACAAACACATTCCATTTGCACCAATAAATTCACCTCATTCTACCGTTTGATAATTTCTCTGTAGGGACATACATAGGAGCCTGCTGTGGCAGGCAGGCAGCAGACAGCAGACAGCCAGGTGAAGCCAAGGCAAGAGGGGGAAATACAAAATCCAGGGCCATTCAGATGACTTAAATAAATATATTTATTACAGCATGTAGGGATCAACCAGCCTTCTACTAGTCCTACGTCAGTAGGTGGGCCCTTACATTCCCTGAGGAAGAAAAGAGATGAACAGCAGAGAGAGAGAAGTGTGACTTTCACTATAAATTACATTTAGTCGTGGGCAGGACGTTAGCTGCCGACAGCCTACACGCATCGCTCTATAATTGGAATCCTGGGAGGAACGGGGGCGAAAGGGGAGCTGGTACCAGAGTGACAGGGATTGATAGGCGTGGCAGCCTGACATCTGGGCTTCCCACTTCCTGTTATAGTCCTGGGGGGCCAGTGGGAATATAATTTCAGCAGTGTTCGTTCATTTGTTCTGCTGCTGATGAGAGAATCTGCCCACTCAGCTCCACACAATCAGGCCCCAGTGTTCATTTAACTCTCTCTCTCTCTCTCTCTCTCTCTGTCCACAGCGGCACGGCCCGATTAACAAGAGTCAGAATGGAATTAACCAGTCTTTTCCCTCAGCCTCAACCCTGCTTAATGCTCAATGCTCACAAAGCAAGACAATTATTTGCATAAGTATTGCTATGAGACTCAAAATTGAGCTCAGGTGCATCCTGTGTCCATTGATCATCCTTGAGATGTTTCTACAACTTGATTGGAGTCCACCTGTGGTAAATTCAATTGATTGGACATGATTTGGAAAGGCACACACCTGTCTATATAAGGTCCTACAGTTGACAGTGCATATCAGAGCAAAAACCAAGCCATGAGGTCGAAGGAATTGTTCGTATAGCTCCGAGACATGATTGTGTTGAGGCACAGATCTGGGGAAGGGTACCAAAATATTTCTGCAGCATTCAAGGTCCCCAAGAACACAGTGGCCTCCATCATTCTTCAATGGAAGAAGTTTAGAACCACCAAGACTCTTCCTAGAGCTGTCCGCCCAGCCAAACTGAGCAATCGGAGGAGAAGGGCCTTGGTCAGGGAGGTGACCAAGAACCCGATGGTCACTCTGACAGAGCTCCAGAGTTCCTCTGTGGAGATGGGAGAACCTTCCAGAAGGACAACCATCTCTGCAGCACTCCACCAATCAGGCCTTTATGGTAGAGTGGCCAGACGGAAGCCACTCCTCAGTAAAAGGCACATGAGAGCCCGCTTGGAGTTGCCAAAAGGCACCTAAAGGCTCTCAGACCATGAGAAACAAGATTCTCTGGTCTGATGAAACCAAGATTGAACTCTTTGGCCTGAATGCCAAGTGTCACATCTGGAGGAAACCTGGTACCATCCCTATCGTGAAGCATGGTGGTGGCAGCATCATGCTGTGGGGATGTTTTTCAGTGGCAGGGACTGGGAGACTAGTCAGGATCGAGGGAAAGATGAAGTGAATGCACTGTATATATATAATTATGTTCACACCACAGGAGGTTAGTGGCACCTTAAATGGGGAGGATGGGCACGTGGTAATGGCTGGAGCAGAATTGGTGGAAAGGTATCAACAAAATAATGGTTTCCATGTTTGATGCCAATCTATTTGCTCCATTCCAGCCATTATTGTGAGCCGTCCTCCCCTCAGCAGCCGCCACTGGTACACACCACAGGTCATGTTGTCCAACCTATGTTTTTGATTTATGATGCATATCACAGGCTACATCATTAAATAAATAATTCCAAGGAAACTATCGTGGCTATTAACATGTCATCCATTGGTTATATGCATTATCAAATAAAGGCCTCAATCCCTCAGACCTTTTACCAGTTGTACTAAACTTCTAACCAATTTCTCCACATTTCCAGTTGAGCTATAAAAAGACATGTAGACAACTTTTCTTCAGAGCATATTTCACCCTGCAACGCTGTCACCGTGCATCGCCTGGCTTGGCCTACAAGTGTCTCTCCATGTCTTCTCCGACCATTGAAAACACTTCACGCAAAGCAACAAACTTGACATTTCCACAACAGGGTGCTAGGCTGGTTTATCAGAAGGCGTGACGATGAGGAGCGTGTGGTGGGCCGTGCGCTCTGCGCGCCACAGTGGAGCTAATTAGAGAAGTGTTTGGGTGAGTGCCGCCGCTCGCTGCCGCCTTGCTGCAGACGATTCTCACGTTAGGAGATAGAGTGGGGGGGTTAGTGCTGACAGGGACCGCCCTGGGAACACTTGTTAAAGTCTGGGAGCAAATAGAAGCCAACAGCATCACATGGCTAGAGAGGAGAGGGAGAGGGAGAGAGAGAGGGAGAGAGAGAGAGCGAGAGTAGAGAGAGAGAGAGAGAGAGAGAGAAAGAGAGGGAGAGGGAAAGAGAGAGAGGGGGGGGGGGTGGACGTCTACAGACAGGGCTGGCTAGTCTAGCCTGTTTAAACTGCAACTAGGCCAATTCATTTCCATTTCTAAATATGATGTTGGGCTCACACACAAAAGCAGAAATGCCTATCAAGATATACACTGAAACTTTCATAACTAACTACATTTGTTATGAAACTTTGCATTTAAATATGTTATTTGATTTCTTCACAATTTAGTATTTTAGCAAGGTGCTACTAAAATACTCAGAAATAATCAATAACTCTGCACCAATTATGTAAAGTAAGAACAAGTGACTGACTACAGAAACTCTGTCCAACATACAACCTACTATAACCTACTATCAGACCTAGTATAACCTACTATCAGATCTAGTATAACCTACTATCAGATCTAGTATAACCTACTATCAGATCTAGTATAACCTACTATCCGATCTAGTATAATCTACTATCAGATCTAGTATACTGTGTATACTGTATACTGTGTATAGTATACTGTGAACCATCAGATCCTCCTCTCCACCCTCTCCGAGCTGGGCATCTCCGGCACGGCTCACTCCTGGATTGCGTCCTACCTGACCGGTCGCTCCTACCAAGTGGCGTGGCGAGAAGCTGTCTCCGCACCACGTGCTCTCACCACTGGTGTCCCCCAGGGCTCAGTTCTAGGCCCTCTCCTATTCTCCCTATATACCAAGTCACTTGGCTCTGTCATATCCTCACATGGCCTCTCCTATCATTGCTACGCTGACGATACTCAACTAATCTTCTCCTTTCCCCCTTCTGATAACCAGGTGGCGAATCGCATCTCTGCATGTCTGGCAGACATATCAGTATGGATGACGGATCACCACCTCAAGCTGAACCTTGGCAAGACGGAGCTGCTCTTCCTCCCGGGGAAGGACTGCCCGTTCCATGATCTCGCCATCACGGTTGACAACTCCGTTGTGTCCTCCTCCCAGAGTGCGAAGAGCCTTGGCGTGACCCTGGACAACACCCTGTCGTTCTCCGCTAACATCAAGGCGGTGACCCGATCCTGCAGGTTCATGCTCTACAACATTCGGAGAGTACGACCCTGCCTTACACAGGAAGCGGCACAGGTCCTAATCCAGGCACTTGTCATCTCCCGTCTGGATTACTGCAACTCGCTGTTGGCTGGGCTCCCTGCCTGTGCCATTAAACCCCTACAACTCCTCCAGAATGCCGCAGCCCGCCTGGTGTTCAACCTTCCCAAGTTCTCTCACGTCACCCCGCTCCTCCGCACACTCCACTGGCTTCCAGTTGAAGCTCGCATCTGTTACAAGACCATGGTGCTTGCCTATGGAGCTGTGAGGGGAACGGCACCTCTGTACCTTCAGGCTCTGATCAGTCCCTACACCCAAACGAGGGCATTGCGTTCATCCACCTCTGGCCTGCTGGCTCCCCTTCCTCTGCGGAAGCATAGTTCCCGCTCAGCCCAGTCAAAACTGTTCGCTGCTCTGGCACCCCAATGGTGGAACAAGCTCCCTCACGACGCCAGGACAGCGGAGTCACTCACCACCTTCCGGAGACATTTGAAACCCCACCTCTTTAAGGAATACCTGGGATAGGATAAACTAATCCTTCTACCCCCCCGCCCACCCCCCCTAAAAAATAAAATAAAAAATAAAATAAAACATTTGTAAAGTGGTTATCCCACTGGCTATAGGGTGAATGCACCAATTTGTAAGTCGCTCTGGATAAGAGCGTCTGCTAAATGACGTAAATGTAAATGTAGTATAACCTACTATCAGATCTAGTATAACCTACTATCAGATCTAGTATAACCTACTATCAGATCTAGTATAACCTACTATCAGACCTAGTATAACCTACTACCAGATCTAGTATAACCTACTATCAGATCTAGTATAACCTACTATCAGATCTAGTATAACCTACTATCAGACCTATATAACCTACTATCAATCAGTATAACCTACTATCAGATCTAGTATAACCTACTATCAGATCTAGTATAACCTACTATCAGATCTAGTATAACCTACTATCAGATCTAGTATAACCTACTATCAGATCTAGTATAACCTACTATCAGACCTAGTATAACCTACTATCAGACCTAGTATAACCTACTATCAGATCTAGTATAACCTACTATCAGATCTAGTATAACCTACTATCAGACCTAGTATAACCTACTATCAGATCTAGTATAACCTACTATCAGATCTAGTATAACCTACTATCAGACCAGTATAACCTACTATCAGATCTAGTATAACCTACTATCAATCAGTAATTACTATAATTGTAAACCTACTATCAGACCTAGTATAATCTACTATCAGATCTAGTATAACCTACTATCAGACCTAGTATAACCTACTATCAGATCTAGTATAACCTACTATCAGATCTAGTATAACCTACTATCAGACCTAGTATAACCTACTATCAGACCTAGTATAACCTACTATCAGATCTAGTATAACCTACTATCAGATCTAGTATAACCTACTATCAGATCTAGTATAACCTACTATCAGACCTAGTATAACCTACTATCAGATCTAGTATAACCTACTATCAGACCTAGTATAACTACTATCAGACCTAGTATAACCTACTTATCAGATCTAGTATAACCTACTACAGATCTAGTATAACCTACTATCAGACCTAGTACAACCTACTATCAGACCTAGTATAACCTACTATCAGACCTAGTATAACCTACTATCAGATCTAGTATAACCTACTATCAGATCTAGTATAACCTACTATCAGATCTAGTATAACCTACTATCAGACCTAGTATAACCTACTATCAGATCTAGTATAACCTACTATCAGACCTAGTATAACCTACTATCAGACCTAGTATAACCTACTATCAGCTTGATACAAAGAGCTGTCCTACTTCCTCTTCATAATTATAGTAGAGATCCGAGTCACAGACAACAACATTCAACCCTTATCAAATAACCATCTCTTCTTCCCTTTGATTCAGGATTCCACCCCTTTTCCCCCACTCAAAATACTTTATCTCAAATCCTGGGGCTTAAAAGTGTTTTCCCGGCATAAATTGGTTTAGAATGATATTTTGCTTGAGCAACCAGTGGAATTTATTAGAGAAAACCATTTCTCCGGTTGCTGTGCCATTTGCTAGAACTCATTTAACAGTGTTTTTTACACCATGTTGCACTTTGATATTGGTTCTAGGCTGAGGACTTTAAGGCATCTATTCCATTCCAGTCTTCCTCTACAAAGCCAAAATAGTGCTGTTGGACACATTTCATTACCTGTGTGTGTAGGTGTGTATGCTAGCATGTGCGTGCATCCATGTGTGTGTGAGAATGTGTAGTAAACCTGTCTGTACCTGGAGTTGCAGCAGAGTAGCAGCATGTCCCTGTTGCTGCAGAGGACCTGAAGGAGAACCAGGAAGGCCTTGGCTCTGATGACAGAGGACGGGCTCTCCAGGGAACGCATTATCTTCACCACAAAGTCCTGTTATGACAGACAGCCACTCGATTAATGGGATAGTTCACTGTTTTGGTGTTATGATACAATCTATTTGACTATCATTGCTACCTTCGCCAAAAAATGCTAGCCTGGAGATTATGGACTCTCCATAAAAACCAGCCACATTTAAAATTGGTTTTGATAAAACAACAACACCCTAGGGTAAGTCAGAACTATCCCTTTAAGACATGTTCAACTGTAATGGAGTCAAGTGGGGTTAGCTGAGTCTTAGCTGACCAGGAGAGTCAGCTATAGTGTTGACCTGACACTGAGCTACACTGAGTCTTAGCTGACCAGGAGAGTCAGCTATAGTGTTGACCTGACACTGAGTCTTAGCTGACCAGTAGAGCCAGCTATAGTGTTGACCTGACACTGAGCTACACTGAGTCTTAGCTGACCAGGAGAGTCAGCTATAGTGTTGACCTGACACTGAGTCTTAGCTGACCAGTAGAGCCAGCTATAGTGTTGACCTGACACTGAGCTACACTGCGTCTTAGCTGACCAGTAGAGCCAGATATAGTGTTGACCTGACACTGAGCTACACTGAGTCTTAGCTGACCAGTAGAGCCAGATATAGTGTTGACCTGACACTGAGCTACACTGAGTCTTAGCTGACCAGTAGAGACAGCTATAGTGTTGACCTGACACTGAGCTACACTGAGTCTTAGCTGACCAGTAGAGACAGCTATAGTGTTGACCTGACACTGAGCTACACTGAGTCTTAGCTGACCAGTAGAGCCAGCTATAGTGTTGACCTGACACTGAGCTACACTGAGTCTTAGCTGACCAGGAGAGACAGCTATAGTGTTGACCTGACACTGAGTCTTAGCTGACCAGTAGAGACAGCTATAGTGTTGACCTGACACTGAGCTACACTGAGTCTTAGCTGACCAGGAGAGACAGCTATAGTGTTGACCTGACACTGAGTCTTAGCTGACCAGGAGAGACAGCTATAGTGTTGACCTGACACTGAGTCTTAGCTGACCAGGAGAGACAGCTATAGTGTTGACCTGACACTGAGTCTTAGCTGACCAGGAGAGACAGCTATAGTGTTGACCTGACACTGAGCTACACTGAGATGGAAGGCTCCCTGTGGGCTGGTACAGGTGTTATCACTTACACTATCTGGAAGGTGCTGCAGGGGAAACAACAGCCTCTCCAAAACAATACACTTATCATAAAATCAGAGGTTAATAGAACTAATTGGCTCAACTGTATTGACTGGGCAGCAAATTAGGCAGAACTGATTAACTTACACAATCAGGAGGAAAATGGAAAATGACGTCAGGAGTAAGACAGACAAGAACAATCCTAAACACTGTGATTAAATACTGGCTGTTGTTGTGTTTGTGAGCAGTTGAGTTAATTAATTTCAAAAGCCTGTGGTCTACTCTGCTGCATAAATTGTAATTACATCAACAGTATTCCAAGCTGCACTAGAAGATTGTTGCAGCTCCTTCCCCAATTAGTGGAGTTGCTTAGAGATTCATTGAAATTAAAATTCATGAATAAACACAAGGCTTTCCGGACTTCTATTTGTCAAGGGAATTAATGAGGAAAATGTATAGCATTTTATAATTGGTGCAAAGGTGATGCAGTAAGTTTTATGCACTCAAAGACTTGTTTTTTCCCAAGTGAAATTGGAAATGTACATGTAGATTAATTCAGGTCAAACTAAATGACCAATGGTACTCTCACAGAACCTTGAAGGCAGCGATGTACAGTACCTTCTTAAATCACTTACACCGGCTCATATTCCAATTGATTACCACTTCAGATAATGCAGGATGCGCAGCATTATTGAAGGATAATGTTTAATTTCAGCCAAATTGGTTCTCCTTCAATTCATTTCTGACTATAGGAACTTTACAGGAGGGAGGGCCTTGTTTGTGCATTAGCAAACCTACTGCTATTACGAAACAGTACTGCCCCTCTCAGTGGAGAATCCTGAAAGCAAGATGAATATTTAAAGATAATCATCAGTAAGAATAAGGCATGTTTGTTCAAGTCTCACTGACTGGGAGTCATGTCAACCTAAGGAAAGAAGAGAACAGCGCCAGACCTCCTCTCTTTGAAGAAAATGATTCTCTACCATCCCAGTTGTTGAGGCCCTGAGACAGACTAGACATCACATGCAGACAAACCTTTCTCTTTCTTATCTGCATCTTATCTGGCTTTGGCTGCATGCGCTCCGTTGGGAGAGGATTTAGGGTCATAGGGTCAAAGGTAGTGCACTATGTAGGGAACATGGTATCATTTAGGAGTGTTGGTGTTTAACAAGATGCTAAACTCCAGTAGGTTACATACCCGCTCCTGGACTAGCCTGTGTAGCTGTGCGTGGGCCCCGGACGCCAGCATGGCAGCGAACATGGTGAGTATGTGCTGCTGGACACGGCTGATCCCCGACACCAGGCTGGCTAAGATGGCCGGCAGCCCCACCTTGTCAATCACACTCTGGAAGGCACTAGCTGAGAGGCGGGTGATTCTGCACAGGGCCTGTATGAAGTTAATAAAACAGGAAGGCCTCAATGACTATCAAGTTCACTTTCCAACACATCTAATAGTGCCTGAAGTGGCGGATAGGCGGGGTTTGCACATTTGGGACTATTCCATTGGTTTCTTTGGGCCAGACAAGCTCAATCAAGAAACATTTTAAATAGGAACCTAGGTCTGGTATCAAGATATTAGTCCCAACGCAGGTTATATAAATGAATGTAATCCATCCAGTAGTATTTCATCAGTACATACAATATGTCTACTTCAATCACAAATGAAAGTAAAATATTTGAGTGAGTGAGTGGCTGAGTGAGTGAGTGGCTGAGTGAGTGAGTGAGTGAGTGAGTTCATGTTCCCCTGGTTAGTGTATTGTGTGTGGTGTTTGTACTCACTGAGATGGCGCTGACGCGTAGTGAGTCGACGGTGGAGTGTGTGAACAGGTACCAGAGCATGGGGCCCATCTCCCCGGTGATGAAGCCCTGGGCGTAGTGGGACACCATGGTACACACGTTCTCCACGGTCTTACACGCCATGTGGTTCACCACCAGATCCTCCTAAAGACATACACACGCACGCACAGACGGACGGACGGACAAGCACACACACAGTCCCATACAATGGAATGCCCAAGATCAGTTAGCTAGGCTAAATAAAACACCATTATGAATCCTCCAAGAACCTGAAGGTCACATCTCAAAGAGAAGCAAACAACTGCTGAGTAACAATTTGATTTACACAAATCATTACAATGGCTGAAATGTGAAGTGGTTCATTACCCACACTATGGGCTATGAACGAGGAATTCTTTATTTTGAGAGAAACACTATTTCAGTGAAATAGGGGTACAGTAATAAAATAACGAAAACATGGTCAGAATGGGTTTTTCAATGCATCCATTATATACTCAATGCATCCATTATATACTCAATGCATCCATATAGAACACAATGCATAAAATTTGATTACTCAATGCATCATTCTATAATTCAATCACCATGTATAATCAAATCAAATCAAATCAAATTTTATTGGTCACATGCGCCGAATACAACAGGTGCAGACATTACAGACATTACAGTGAAATGCTTACTTACAGCCCAATGAATGTTGTCACCTTGTTATCATGGTTACAGTGGGTTACATCATAGGCATATTATTCCATGAAAACTTGGAAATGTGGGTCACTACTAACACAACCTAATGAAAAATTTTCACTAGTTAAAACCAGTATTCTACCACAGCACATTTCTGAATTCTACTACAGCCACACACCGTAACACACAACAACCACATCAATCAATCAAATGTATTTATAAAGCCCTTTTTACATCAGCAGATGTCACAAAGTGCTATACAGAAACCCAGCCTAAAACCCCAAACAGCAAGCAATGCAAAACTCCCTAGAAAGACAGAAACCTAGGAAGAAACCTAGAGAGGAACCAGGCTCTGAGGGGTGCCAGGTGGAGATTATAACAGTACATGGCCATTAAGGCCAGATTTTTCTCCAAGATGTTCAAACGTTCATAGATGACCAGCAGGGTCAAATAATAATCACAGTGGTTGTAGAGGTTGCAACAGGTCAGTACATCAGGAGTAAATGTCACTTGGCTTTTCATAGCTGGGCATTTAGATGTTGAAATAGCAGGTGCGGTAGAGCGAGAGAGTTGAAAACAGCAGGTCAGGGTTCCATAGGCAGAAGAATTGAAACTGGAGCAGCAGCACGACCAGGTGGACTGGGGACAGTAAGGAGTCATCAGGTCAGGTAGTCCTGAGGCATGGTCCTAGGGCTCAGGTCCTCCAGGAGGGGAGGGAGAGAGGGAGAGATTGCATCCCAAATAGCATCCCATTCCCTACATATTGCACTACTTTTGACCAGAGCCCTAGAGGCCTTGGTCAAAAGTAGTAGTGCACCATAAAGGAAATAGGGTGCCATTTGGGACGCAGCACTTCGTCTATTTTGGAGGAGTACTCATTACTGAAACTACACAGTATAACGTGAGTGTAGTCTCACAACACGTCTGACAACACATCTCACAACACATCTCATAACACATCTCACAACACAGCTTGAACTTTAAATAACGCCCCAAAACGCTGCTTCAGCTCAGCTCCCTCCATCCTTCCCTGCTATCTATCTCCAAGACAAAGAAGCTCTCTGCATAGCTCCTACCTCAGAGAGAGAGAGAGACAGAGAGACAGAGAGACAGCGAGAGAGGAGAGAGAGAGAGAGAGAGAGAGAGAGAGAGACGAGAACAGAGACGGAGGAGACAGAGAGAGAGAGAGGACCGAGACCGAGAGAAGAGAGAGAGACAGAGAGGACAGACAGAGAGAGAGACAGAGAAGAAAGCGAGAGAGAGACAGAGAGAGAGAGAGAGAGAGAGAGACAGAGAGAGAGAGGCCAGAGAAAGAGAGAGACAGAGAGAGAGGACAGAGAGGACAGACAGAGAGAGAGACAGGAGAGACAGACAGAGAGAGAGAGAGAGAGAGAGAGAGATAGAGAGAAGAGAGAGAGAGAAGAGAGAGAGAGAGAGAGACAGAGAGACAGAGAGACAGAGGGCCTCTAGGTTCTGATATAGTTGAGTGCTGAGTAGGAGGACACCAGCGCTGATTGACAAAGCTGCTGGAGGCGAGTGAGGAGTTAAGGAAGGTTGCGTCCCAAATGGCACCCTATTCCCTACATCGGGTTCTTCATTCCGCCTGAGGCAACACCTTTTTTTATTTCCCTGTAGTTAATTGCACTCACCTGTGTCAGGTCTAACTTAGCTTGGAAGGATGAAACCAGGTGTTCGCCCTCCAGGACCGAATTGTACCCTGCCCTACATAGGACTATTTTGACCAGAGTCAATGGCACCACCCATATGGGAATAGGGTGCATTGGGACAAAAAGAGTGAACATTGTGAGGGGGAACATTCCACTCAGAAAGACCTTGCTGTATCAGTAGAAAAACTCAACCAAAAACTAGTCCAACTTCAAGTCAAGCTAATCCACACAGAACAGCAGCCTCAAGGTTTCTCTTCTCTCTCCACACAACAACGATACAAAAATCACTGTGAAGAAAAGAAGAGGCAGTTTTTTTAAACACGCCCATTTGCTACAACTAACTATCTTTTATACCAGTGTGGACATACTGTACACAGACTCCCTTTTCACAGAGGTCAGGCACCCTGGAGGCTACTGTGCATAAGGTGTGCTGTAACTCGGAGCATGTTTTAACCTGATGTTACAAAGACAACTATACTAAAACAGCGTTAACAAAACACAACTGAGAGAAAACCTTGGAGTCATGCGATGCGTCACTACTCATTCCAACCTTTCAGAAAGTGAAGTCTGAAAACATGGCATTGAAAATGTAATGTAAAGAATAGAGGCAGGTGGAGGCATTAGCATAGATCTCTCTCTCCTACGTTTCTATTAATCAATTCAGCTAAATAGGCCGGGCCTACCAATACCAAAATATGCTGCTTGTATACAAGTTGCTCAGGATAAAAAATGTTTTGTATGAAGTAGCTCTCATGAGAGAAAAGGTTGGAGACCCCTGATCCAACTCAATTAACAAAGGGAATTGGTCCTGGTAGATTTACCAGAGTCCTGGTCAAAAGTAGTGCACTAAATAGGGAATATGGTGTCATTTGGAAAACAGACATTAAACAGGACATCAGGCACACCTGTGGAGTGGAGTATAGTTTATTCTCTACTGCATTAATACTAACATCTAACATGCAGGGGAAAATGTACATTAGAACGCAAAAAAAACTAACATCATCCAAGAAGTTCTCATAAAATGCTTGGGTGTGAGCGCTACTTTAAACACCATTTTATTTCCTAGTCCAACTGTTCTACCAGAAACATTTCAATTCCTTAATTTGTTTTGCAGATATACTGTAGATTACCCTGGATTAACCTGAAACATAATTCAAAACAGGAGTCTAATTGAAGACTGATTCACCATGAAAAGGGATGAAATCATGTCTAGACTGTAGGCCTGAAAACCATAACCTAGGGCTAATACTGTAGGGCCTACATGGGGATTGAACACAAAACACAAAACTATGAGAGTTAAATGTAGTTCTTTACCAAGCTTAGTATCTCCACTACACGGGGATCGAAAAAGCCCCAGTAAACAATTCTACATGAGAAGAAGACTCTTATCATAGCGCTAGCTACAGCTCTTTACTAAGCTTAGCCTCGGTGTCTCCTCTAGTTTGAGCCTGTGCTATATGTTCTCCCAGAGTGTTAGCCGTGTCAGACTGAGAGGAGCCCTACAGTCTCTCTTGTGGTTTCCCCAGCCTGCAACAAGTGCCTGAGTGTAATTATGTCCCTTTTGAAGCAGCAGCGCAGCACCTGGACCAGAAGAACGCTCTATGTAAATTCACAACCGCCAGCTAAGTCCTTTCATTATCCTGCTTGTTTTTCATCTCTCCGCTTAGAACTCAATCGTCTCTGTTTAATTGGCATGTTTAATGAATAAGAGTGATATTAAAACCAAAAAAATATCAAAATGGGTTTTAACTTTGTGAAATACGTATTTAGAAGATTACAGAAGAACGCAAAGATGGAGCTAGCTTGTATTTAGTCAGACAGCAAAACACACACAAGGCAGTGTAGAAAGGATCTCTCAAATTATTACCATTGAGTACTACATTACTTTAAGATACAATCTCCCTTGAAGAATGTTCTTTTAAAAGAGACACTTCCCAGTGGGCACACACTGGCTGAATCAACTTTGTTTCCACGTCATTTCAATTAAATTACGTTGAACCAATGTTGAATTGACGTCTGTGCCCAGTGGGTTCTCTAGCTCACAAAAAATGAAAATGTCATTGATCTTTGCAATATGGACCAGGTCAACACCCTAAAGAATGATGCTTCCTTCTGGAGCAAAACATTTTTTATTGCAGCATTAAATGTCCTTCCACACAAACGGAGAGCGTACCTGTCGTGATTATTGCAGTACATTGAATTGCATGTCAGAAGTCCATATGTAGAAACGTAGCAGTGTGTGATGTAGCTGGTTATTATTACGAATCATCCAGAGGTCACTGAACGTGCGTCCCAAATTTGCAAATTTGCATTGACCCCCCCCCCTTTGTTTTTACACTGCTGCTACCCGCTGTTTATTATCTATGCATAGTCACTTTACCCCTACCTACAAATTACCTCGACTAACCTGTACCCCCGCACATTGATTCGGTACCGGTACCCCCTGTATATAGCCTCACTACCTCTTTAAGGAATACCTGGAATAGTATAAAAGTAATCCTTCTACTCCCCCCCCCCCATAAAAAATAACAAAAAACGTAAAAATTGTTATTTTATTGTTTTACTTTTTAAATTGTTTTACTTGAGTTTATTTAGTAAATATTTTCTTAACTCTATTTTCTTAAAACTGCATTGTTGGTTAAGGGCTTATAAGTTTCACAGTAAGGTGCATGTGTCAAATAAAATTTGATTTGGTTTGATTTGAAATAGCACCCTACTCCCTATATAGTGCATTACTTTTGACCGTGGCCCAAAGTAGTACACTATATAGGG